CCCCCCCCGGTGGTGTCCCCGGTGTCCCCCGTGTCACCCCCGTGTCCCCTCAGGTGGGGACCAGCGCCATGGACAGCCCCCTGCTCAAGTACAGCGCCAAGGAGCACTTCTTCAGGGCGGCGCTGTGCCACTTCTGCGTGGACATGCTCAACGCCAAGGTGGGAACGGGAACGGGATGGGAACGGGAGCGGGAACGGGATGGGAATGGGAGCGGGAGCGGGAGCGCGGGGAGGGGACGGGAGCGGGAACGGGATGGGAGCGGGAGCGGAGCGGGATGGGAGCGGGAACGGGAGCAGGGAAAGGGGATGGGAACGGGATGGGAAGGGGATGGGAAGGGCACCAGGAGCACCGGGAGCGCGGGAAGGGGATGGGAAGGGCACCAGGAGCGCGCAGAAAGGGAATGGGAAGGGCACCGGGAGCACATGGAAAAGGCACGAGGAGCGCGGAGAGCACATGGAGCACATGGAAAGGGCATGGGGAGCACAGGGAAAGGGCACAGGAAGCACGAGGAGCGCATGGAAAGGGCATGGGGAGCACTGGGAGCATGTGGAATGGGCATGGAAAGGACATGGGGAGCACACGGAGCACAGGGAAAGGGCACAGGGAGCACGAGGAGCACATGGAAAGGGCATGGGGAGCACTGGGAGCATGTGGAATGGGCATGGAAAGGACATGGGGAGCACACGGAGCACAGGGAAAGGGCACAGGGAGCACGAGGAGCACATGGAAAGGGCATGGGGAGCACTGGGAGCATGTGGAATGGGCATGGAAAGGACATGGAGAGCACACGGAGCACATGGATAGGGCATGGAAAGGGCATGGGGAGCACCGGGAGCGTGTGGAATGGGCATGGAAAGCACATGGGGAGCACACGGAGCACATGGATAGGGCATGGAAAGGGCATGGGGAGCACACGGAGCACATGGAAAGGGCATAAAGAGCACAAAGGGAACACATGGAGCATAGGGAGCACATGGAAAGTGTATGAGGAGCACCGGGAGCACACATGGAGCACATAGGAAGCGCATGGAAGCACAGGAGGAGCATGGGAAGCGCATGAGGAGTGCTGGGAATGCACGGGAACACATAGGGAATGTACGGGAACACCCAGGGAGCATGTTGGGAATGCATGGGAACGTGCCAGGAACGCAGGGAATGCATGGGAAGCCCAGGAACACCCAGGGAGCGTGGGGACCACGCGGGAAGCGTTGGGAACGGACGGGGACGCGC